CTATGCAGAGAACCCATTTGGTGATAGCAGCAATTTCCTACCCTATGGCTATATCCAGTCCTTCATCCCTCAATGTCAGAGTGATAAAGTTATGAGAATAAAAATAAAAGAATCCCAATATACTTATTTTCTAGCTTTTTTTTTTTCTGAAAAGTAGTAGAGACCCAAGAGGAAGTCCATTGAAAGGTACCTAGAGATAATTTTCTCCCTGATGAAAGCATGTCTGTTAAGATAAAATCTTTGTCCCTCCTCTGCCACCAGCATCCTACCCCAGCCTCTAATCTTTCTACCTATCTTTGACTGACTATAGCATGAGGATTATTCCTTGGTGCTGCTATAGCCATCTTCTGACCAGGAAGGCAGACCAATGATTCACTATAGATGGCAAAGTAGAAAGACAGACAAAATCTTGGTAAATTCCTGCATTGCTAAATCAAAAAGAGCAAAAGCTACTTACAGATTTCTTAATACATAACACAATACATTCTCAATCATTAGCTGTGTGATGATCCAACAATAGGAGGTAACAATTACCATCAAAAGAAACCATGGAATATAAAAAGATCATGGAAATTCAGGAAGAGAAAAGATAGTCATATACCCTCTCTCCCACCTCATCAGCACTCTGTGTATCCAGGTTGAGTTTCAGGTTCCTCCAGGCATACTCCACTGTTGTGGGCATTCGGAGACTAAGTGGATGGATGGGAGATCTCTCTCTCTCTCTCATTCTCTCTTTCTCTCTCTCTCTCTCTCTCTCTCTCATTCTTTCTCTCTCTCTCTCTTTCACTCTTTCTCTCCTCCCCCATTTAAATAACTAAAATAACATTTTAAAAACCTAAAAGTATTAAAGTAAACTAGTGATAACATTATATTCTATATAACAAAACTAACACAACTATTGTTATTAGTAAAGTAGCTTTGCAAGTTTCTGATTAATGAGATGTCAACAAATCATGAAAAACTAATTTAAAAATGTAATAAAACCACTATGGAGGAATTTATGATATTTTCAAAACCCTCCATATCTATAGATTGCCTTAAAAACATCAAGGAAGAAATCTGCAGAAGTAAAAATCACTGACTACATATTTTAAAATGTGTGTAACTAATGGAGTATTAAACATAAATATCTAAGTATCTTCAAAATTTTATTTCACCATCAATTTTTGGTCTTAGAGGATCCAGGCATTTATTTATTTTTTAAATGATTCCATTTTATTTTGACTGTTAAAATAATCAGAAGTTCTAAATAAAATTGAAATACTCCCTTGGTTACAAATTTTGTGTGGATGTTTGCTCAAAAGGCCACTAAAATGGGCTCAGTGATTGATAGACTGATTCTGAATTTCTTGTGTACCTATAATGTTATTTTGAAACATTATATTATTCTAAGATTCCAAAAAAATTTAACAAAACTTAATAGAGCTATTTCAGTGTTATTCCATCAAGTGTGAGATTACAAAATTGCAGTGTATCTTTAGGCCATAGACATGAACCATACTGTATGAAAATAGAAAACAAGCTCGAGAATTATATAGTGTAGTCATTGATCTTACAAAAGCATTTGTCTGCTGGAGCAAAGCTGAATTCCACACAACAAAACTGCCTTACACTTATTTAGTGTTCTCTCAATCTTCTAAGACACAAAGACCCATCTTTTAAATCTGAAATAAGATTGTGTCATTCTGAGCTATAAAATTATCTCCAAAATACATGTTGTGAATTACCTGTATTGGCAAAGCAATAGACAGGATAACGTGTATTGCATTTTGCTTTGATTCTTTGCATTTTACAGAAAAACATCTTGTTAAACAGAGAAAGATGACAAGCAATATATTCAGTCATGTATCAATAAGGGAAGAAATTTTCTCAAATAAGTTATATATACGGACAAAGCTTTGGAATTCCACCAATGTCGAATAAGTGCCACAAAATGCATTGGTCCATGTGTTTTTCTTTATCCTTTCAGAACTGACATTTCAAAGCTAAAATTTATCCCTAGCATCTTCCAATTGCAAAATACTGATTACCATGCTATGGCTCAGCTTGTCTACAAACAATTCAGATCTTGTGATCTTACAGTTCACTTCAATAGAGACTTGTTGATTTGTGACAAATTGTGTTAAGTCAGCTTACAATTTCCCAAAGCAACATCTGTGAACTTTCATTTTAACATAGGATGTTTTATGAGATTCTCATTTAGAGCACTTGCTTGCCACTATTCCAAAGAGAATTAATGATCCTTGGAAAATATATAATAGAATCCTAGGTGTTATGTGGTATATATTTTTTGGCTGTTTTGGTAACTATAGTATAAAAACAAGAAGGCTAATTTTGTGGCTAAGCACTGCCCAAACCAACTTTGAAAAATGTCACCTCCAGGAACATCACTTTTCTCTGGTTGATATCCTTTATACCCTAATCTAAAAGTCAAATGAGCATTTCTAGACAAAAGAAATAAGAGCTGGGGTGTGCCCGTAGGTTTATTTTTAATTGGAAAAAGAACTCCTCTTTCTTAAAAGTCAGGTAATGATTTTAATGTGTTGCTAAGCAAGACCTGAATAAAATATTAGACAATCATGCTCAGAAGCTATTAGTGGTTTTCTAATCTAATACAGAGAGAGGTAGTTTTAAAAGTAATTGAGATTTTTCTTTATTTGTAGCTGTAGAACTTGTGGAAATTTATCAAGTATACTATTTTTTGAAATTATCATCAAGCACAGCATGGACTTTAAAGTTCTTTACAAGAGACTATAGAGTCTATTCCCGTTAACTGGTAGATAAAAACACATTGAAAAGTGGTATGCAAATAAATATACAGTTTTCATAAGAAAAAATCTAGAGCTGCAGAAGGGGAGATATGCTGTTTTATTTTTTCCCTATAACAATCTATTGTTCTAGGATAGAGTGTTTATTATTATTATTACTATTATTGATCTTATTATTACTAGAACCAAACTTGAAGTTTAGAATCTGATATATATCCAGATAAAGAGAATGCTATTGAGTTTATCTACCAAAATATTGACTGGGAAGGGAGTTTGAATCTATGCTTCTTCAATTTCAGCCAACACCTTTGTTCACCACATGATTAATTTGTTCATAATGTGCCACAAGTGCTTGCATTGGAAATTGCTAAGTGGGGAGAAATGGATAACTTTTATTTTGAGGAGGAATTGTCTTACTCGGGCAAGAAAGCAAAACTAATTGGATGGTGTATACAACTAAACGAGTTGCTGTCTTTTCCTCCCCTGATCCCTATAGTATTAAGGACAGAATTTCCCCAGGTAGGCTGGGTGCATGGCGTATTGGGTTTATGTTTTTAGCTGATAACTTTTGACACCCGTATTAAGTGTCAGAATGAAGGAAGAGAATCAGATAAAGAGCCAAAATATATAAAACTCCAACTATCTACCTTTAGATACACGTCTCCTCCCAAAAGTAAAGCTCTTTCAAGAGTATAAATCCAACTGTGCTCTCAAAAGTAGATTTTGCATGGTAGAGGCTCAATTAAGGGATGGTTTCTAGGATTTATTTCCATTAGCATACAAAAACGCCATTTAAGGAACATTTAAATGGTGACAAAGGAACTGCCTCCCCACTGCATCTTTAAAAGGGCACTGGTACAATATTTCTTGTCCTGCTGATAATCATTTTTTCTTCCTGCTGTTCATCCATTCCTCACTTCTGAAGACTAAGTATCTTTTTCTCTAAGAAAATAGAAATATTAAAATAAATCCTAATCACTTGATCTAGAGACAAAGTATAATGACCACCAATTTAAATACTATAAACACAATCTGAAAAATGAAAACTTGATACATTTCCAATATGCAATGATGTATTTTTTCAACACTAGTAGGATGCATTAAAATATGTTCTCCTTAAGAGATTTCAAATTCATTACCAGACAGTTATGTTTTCACTTTAAAAGCAGAATTGACAGTACCCTATGAATAAAAATGAAAAGTAAATCTCACAGTCAGAAAATCTAGTGGCTGTGAGCTCTTGTTCCACGGCACTTGAGATTACACATTGGGCAAACTAATAGCCTGCTGATTCAACCTCAGTGAGTGATGGAAAGATTAAAGTGAAAAAAAAAAAAACACCAAAAATAGGTTAATTTTGGCTACCAAGAATTTTGTTAGCCAGACACAAAAATCCAACATAATGTCATTGGGTTCTCAATGTAGATAATTCATTTTCCAATTTTTATTTTTAAATATTTATTTATTTGTAATACAGAGAAAGAAAGTTGGAGACAGACACAGAAACAATCTTCACTCCTCATATGCCACCAGTCCTAAGCTATGAGTCCCAGAACTCCATCTGTATCTCCCAAATAGGTGGCAGGGACCTAAATTCTATAGCCATCACCTGCTGCCCCCCAGTGTGTATACTGGCAAGGAGCTGGAATCAGGAGTGGAGTCAGGACTCAACTGCAGGTACTCCAGTATGGGATGTGGCATCCCAAATGATATCTTAACAGCTGGGTCAAAGATTCACTCTTTAATGTAGATATAAGGAACCTATAAAGGGAATATTATTAATCTTCCCATTCATCGTTCGAATAAAATAGAGGATTTTGCTCTTCTTTTCTGCTGAAGTAAGAGAATCAGGCTTGGGCAAGGTAAAGGCCAAGTCAAAGCCTCAACCCGTGAACAACTCTTCATTAATCATCATGTCATCCACTGAGTTAAAGGTAATCTAGCAACTGAATTTCACAGCTAGAAGGGATCATGGAAATCATCTAAATAATGCCCTTATTTTACAGCTGAGGAAAGTGAATGGATCTAACCGCTCAGTTATTTTTTAGTACAACCGAAACTAGAATTCAACTAGAATTGGGAGATGTTTACCCTCTTCATATTATTCAGAGCGCTATTGCTTGTGAACAGTGACTTTCGAACATTTGTGAAAAAAATGGGGAGAAATGTGTTTCATATCTTACTCCACATACACACAGAAACTGAAGCAAAATTTCTTAAAACAATACTTACTATGTATGACGCACCAAGACATTCTGTAATCCTTTCTGTTAGATGCTATTTCTTTGTAATGCCTATCAAGACCTAGTGAAATAATAATTTCATTGGTTAAAGGGCAATTACATATTTTGAAAAAATAACACTAGTATAAGCTAGTGTAACTTAACTATTTTTTGTCTTCAAAGAGATATAAAGAACTTCAGTTGTAACTTAAGGAATTTTGCCAACAAAGGGGCACCAGGACAGGCATCCTCCCGACATAGGAAGACCCTAAGCAAAAGGAACCAGTGTCGTTTTTGCTAATTGTGCTTGCCTTTCTCATATCAGTATTCACCTAGTGCTGTTTGGTGAAGTAACATTCTAGCCCTTCCAAACAGGAAGAGAGTAATTGAGAGAAAACACTCTAGTTCCATATAAGCTGTTCCCACCTTCCCGACTTCCTTTTCCTTCCTTGTTTAGAAGAGATGTTGCAAAATCAGAATTGTTTTCACTGGAATTCTTGTCTTCTCACAACTAAACCACTTTTCCCCACATTCTGCCGCCAAAAAATCCATGGATACCCTTGCTTTCTTTCTGCTCAGTGGTCCTTTCTCATGGATCACAAGCAAGTCATTCTTCTATACAATTTTTCTAAACAGAAAATGGGAAATTCCATGGAATACTTGCAAGTTCCTTTGACTCTGTCTTGGCCACCTCTCTACCTCACCTATTCCCATGTCTCCTGCACACTTCCAAATCTCTCTCTCTCTCTCTTTCCCCCCTCCCTCCCTCCCTCCTTCCCTCCATTGGTCTTATTCTATTTCACATGCAAACAAATACCAACAAGGATATGTATTTGAATCTGGGATTCGGATGTGCAAGTTGACCCAGCTCTTTGGGTAATAGAGATATCTGCATCACCCATAACTACACACACCCCTGTGTGCCACAGCTCGGTACATACACATCCAGGCCCCACAACCAGCACTTCTGTGTCCAGAGATCAAGTGACCTTTACATAGTTAGTTCTTTCTATTAGTTACTTTTGTGGTTTTGCTCGGTAGCTTTCAATCAAAGTTTAAGCAATAGCCTAATCTGGGAGTGAGAGAAGAGAAGGATCCCTTGTTGTTTATGCAGAATACTGAACATACACACTGGCTCTGCTTCTTGCTTGCCCCCCCAACCATTGTAAGGCAGGCTTAGCTGCTTGGAGTGGTTTAAAATCTGAGCTCTCTTAGAGTACTTTCAGACAGTCCTAGAAACACATAGTATCCTGGTCATCTGAAATGGAAATAGAAAGGAGAGAATAAAGGGAAGAGAAATAGAATGACAGGATTTACTAGTGTTGGATAATACCAGGACTGAAGAACAAAGCTATGCTGAATCTTCATTACAGATGTTATTGACTGGGTTCGTTTGTTTTCATCCTTTTATCAATTTGTCTTCTGTAGCAGCAGCCGCACCAGTGATGAAAGGGTGTTCAGAAAGAAAACTTTATTATGACAAATATCACTCAGAGTTAAGCCCTCTCTGTATCCCTGAAGCATTCACAGGCCCTCAGTAAGAACAAAACAAATTAGATTAAAAGGAATAAACATACATTGAACCACAATGCCCCATGGCAAACAAGGCATCCTTTCCTCCTTAACTAAAACCATTTTTCAACTAGTAAGGAAACAGGCAACTGTGAGGCTATCTCCTTGTCCTGTGGAGAAGTTACAGAGATGGCAGGTGATACCACTGCAGCCCTCTGAACGGTCAGAGAAGAATGTCTGCTCCTTCACATTTTGACCTGCTGAATCTATATCAGGTGTAACTGAAAAATAAAAGCCAGATGGTCTCACAATTTTCCTACTGCTACCAATTACCCAGAGATGAATTGTCTGTGCAGGTGAATAACTCAGTAATCTTGGCTTGGATGCACTGTAGACTTGAAGTAGCTCAGCTACTACAACTTCCTCTGACAGAAGAAGTTACTGTTGTAATCAATTTTACATTCTTAGCATATTTATAATTACAATGAAAACTATATATGCATGCGGGGTGGACAAAAAAGATTTCTTGAAAATGTTATCTTTCTGAAATGCCTTTAGTTAAATATGGTTGGAAACGTTTGAGGCAATTTATAATGTCAAATCATTAACAGAATGGATTTTTCTTGTTGAACATGGGGTGGAGGGTTATGCAACAAGAAATTTGGCAAGTCTTCTTGGCCAATCTTTGTCAACAATCTGTTTCAGAAGGCCTTTACTTATCTGTGTTCTGCTTTCATTCTCACCATTTGTTTGAGGGTGATGAGGCACAATGGTGACAACTTAGATAAGGTTTCTGTCTGCAGGTTTCTCAAACTGGACTGAGCTAAAGGAAAAAACAGAAACAACAATGTCTGTCAATCTCTGGTCCTTGAAATAAGTGACAGGGAGGCAGCTGTGCCTGGGCAGCAGCGTTTTAATTTAGAACTAAGAGCACTTGGAGAAATGTTGAATAGTCTCCCAGAATCATAAATTGTTTTCTCCAGAATGATCCAACAAAATAATTTGGGCTCTTAACCATGGCTTCTTTGGTCCCCTTACCTGAGAAGTTAAGTACTTGGGATATGTTCAACAGAAATTGGCATGTGCTATACACCTTTACAGATTTTTAAATATCAGAATCACTTCTGCACAACCAGTTACATTTTAAAGCCAAAGCTTTTATGCAAACACTTCAGAATGTGTGTGTTTATTGTGGCAAGCATAATGCAGTCACTTCATTTGAGAATAGCAATGTAATTTTCACCCTTTAAAATGTATGCTTTATGTATAGACAGCTCACATTAATGTTTGTGAAAGGCTTGGATCCTGAGCAATAACTTATTGAAGAGCAGGCAATTGATGTCTCATTGCTTTGTGACATTTGTGGCTAAATCAAAACTCCCAAGCTGGGTATGGTTTCCATTCTGTGTAGTGTAATAACACAGATGCAGAGACAAAAATTACTTAGAAAATGTCCTTATGGTGGTCTCCAGTGGCACAAATTTATTTTCTGTAAGTATGAGTCAGTATCACAGTATAACTTTGACTTTTTTTCAAGGAAGATTTAGGAATTTTCTTTATTAATTGTCTACATATGACCAACCATGAAATGGACTCCTTTTGGGATCAAATTCAAGGATACTTTTGTCATTTGCTTGAAAAAGTGAGACTGGATATTCCAACTACAGAAGTCTTGATTTTTTAACTCAATATTTGCTAGGTATATCAAATATATATACATATATATATATATGAATGAAAAAGAACTCTATGAATCATTTGCAAAAAGCTAACCTTTAAAATCAATTGAAAAAAAAACTGCCTTGTTAGAATTACTTTTAAAAAGAACTTAATATTTATTATTGTACAAGAGACAAATTGATAAGTAACTTAGATAGGTGTGTTCAGGTATGAAAAGATGCAAAAGTCCAGGATGAGAATTTAGGATATTTTGGGAGAGGAAATGGAAATTAAACCAAGAAGACAGGAGAAACAAAGAATGTATATAGTGCAGAGAACTGAGATGATGGGTTCTGTGCAAAGCAATGTGTGACCATGTCATCAGTAAGCAAGTTTGACAAAAATCATAAAAGGTTTAGCATGAGTATATTTCTTGTTGAAACCTCTGCAGATGCTGAATTTTGCATTCTGTATTCATTTTGAGTTAAATGGAAATGTTATGTGTGGACTCAACCATTAGAAATATTTTACCATACTTGGAGGTACAGAAAGTGAGCTCACAGGGCCAGCACCTCGGCTCAATAGGCTAATCCTCCACCTGCAGCGCAGGCACGCCAGGGTTCTAGTCCTGGTCAGGCCGCAGGATTCTGTCCCAGTTGCCCCTCTTCCAGGCCAGCTCTCTGCTATGGCCCGGGAGTGTAGTGGAGGATGGCCCAAGTGCTTGGGCCCTGCACCACATGGGAGACCAGGAGAAGCACCTGGCTCCTGGCTTCGGATCAGCGTGGTGCGCCGGCCGTGGCGGCCATTGGAGGGTGAACCAACGGTAAAAAAAGAAGACCTTTTTCTCTCTGTCTCTCTCTCACTGTCCACTCTGTCAAAAAAAAGAAAAAAAAGTAAGCTCACATCTTATACCAAAAATAATAATATAGATAAATTAAAGATCTCAGTATAAAAGAACAATACTTGTTCATACCCTTAGTCCATTTCTTTTTTTAACCAAATTGATAAGGCTTATTTTATTTGTGATAGCCGTAAAGGAAAATCAATTAGGATGTCCTGCAACATGCAAATGTTTAAGAAGTTTGTGGTACATACATACCATGGAATGCTATGCAACAATGAAAAGATATGGATCCTTGATACATATAACAGCCTGGATGAATATTAAGGGAATTATTCTGGGTAACAAATGTTAAGGTCAGTTGTTATAGCACAGTAGTTAGACTGCCTTGGCATGCCTATATCCCATTTTAGAGTGCCTATTTTTAATCACCACTTAACCCATTGTTGTGAACAGAATTAATATCATGAAAATGTCCATTCTATCCAAAGAACTTTAAAGATTGAATGTGATCCCAATAAAAATATCAAAGCTTTTCTTCTCAAATCTAGAAAAAAAAAACTACCCTAAAATTCATATAGAGTCACAAGAGAACCTAAATAGCTAAAACAATGCTAAACAATAAAAACAAAGCTGAAGGGATCCCAAAGATTTCAAGACATATTACAGACGAATTATAATCAAAACATCCTGATGCTGGCACAAGAAAAGACATATGGACCAACAGAAAAGATTATC